GGGGGGGGGACGCTGTTTGCGAATGTGGCACACGAGCGTACGCACAGGGAGTGGGGAGTAGGAGGTATGGGTTGAGTTGCGATAGCATAGTGAGGTTCGGGAGAGTGGTTGGATGGTATTGGAAGAACACGGTGATCGATCGAAACAATGGCAATCAAGCTCTGTAAAGGACAGAGCTTTGACATTGGTTGCTTGATGGACTAGTGGATTGATCGATCGATTGATTGATTGTGTCATAATGATGATTGGCTCGTTGAATGATTGGTTGCAGTGGATTGCGGGATCGACTGACGGATTAAATTAAATGGTTATTTAGACGGACTGATGGACGATTTTTCCAACGATCAAGTGAACCAATCATTCAACGAATCAAGTGACTGATTGACCGTTGAAATACTTTTCTTGTGATTCTTTTGACTGATGAATTGCAGAGAGGAAATGCGGAGATCCTGTTGATGCCTCATTCTACGGCTCTCCTTGTGCCATCGTTTCTTATTTCCAAGAAATCCTGTGAGCAATTTTGCGAGACCCTGAGGTCCTACCCTAGGGCTTATGCGCGGACGCTCTCCATTCCTGTCGTTATGTGCAACATGGCAGGCAAGTGCCAACGGGACAGCGCCGTTAACGGAGGCTCTCCAGCCTCAATCTTTGCTGGGCAGGTATCCACTTTTCTGCCCGTTCCGTTTCCAGAACTTCCCATCAATCAATCAATCAAAAAAAAAAAAAAAAAAAAAAGTCAATCAATCAATCAATCAGCGAGAAACTACGCGGGAGTCACACAAAAAACAGTTTGAAAATACAGCTCGGGCAAAAAAGAGTTTCAAATTGCACTTCGGGCAATGTGCTTCAATTGTTGTTTTCTGTGGAATGTGCTTCATTGTTCTATTTTGTCGATTTTTTTGGAGATCGTTTTCACATACTTGTGCTGTGCAGTGCAGCTCAGCTATGTGTTGGGCGTTCGTCGGTCTTGACTGACTTTGCTATTTCTATTACTACGTACTAATGTATACAAGCTAGATTCCCGGTCATGTACTCAGGTAGGGTTTCCTGGGGGTGCGTTATGTTCCGGGGAATGGCCGAAGTGTAATTTCAAACTGTTTTTGTGACTGTAGTGAAGTTACCCCATCAATCAATCAAGCAATCAATCAATCAATGAATCAGGGAATCAATCAATCAATCAATCAATCAGTCAGTCAGTCAATCAATCAATCAATCAATCAATCAAACAATCAATCCATCAATCAAACAATCAAACAATCAATCCATCAATCAATCACTCACTCAATCAATCAATCACTCAATCACTCAATCAATCAGTCAGTCAGTCACTCAATCAATCCAGCAATCAATCAATCAATAAAATAACCGATCGATCCATCGATCAATCAATCAATTTGTCACCCATCCATCATCTCTCTCTGCCTCTCTTGCCTCCTCCTCGCTTCTGCGCCCTCC